GACACCGGGAGTTTTATTGTCGTAGCTGCGAGGTGTTGCTAGGCAAGTCTGGTCTTGCACTGCTGTGCTTCTTTCAAAGAAAGACAGTGGCGGAGGAGATTTCTGTCTTGACATTGGGGAATAAAATTGAAAGAAACAAATGTTCTTTCATTTAGTTATGTTAAGTACTTTTTAGTGCTCTACTTACGAAGATGGAACTGGACAAGAAACAACCCATGCCTAGCCAACTCCATTTTAAAACCACATTCATAGTGAGCTCTGATACTCTGCTGTCATTAGTTCATGAGTAGGCTATACTGTAATGTAAGTAAGCCCTGCAGAAGTCCTCTACACCACTCTTCACACATAGTTTTCTTCAGCTTAGCTCAGGGCTACGAATATTGTAAGCTTATTTTCATAACCGGTTCTTCTTAGATAGAGGGATTGCATTGCCTGAGAATCATGTCTGTTTTGGCCCAGGTCAGAAGTGGGAGGAATGTACCAATCTGCTAAACCAGGCCAGTGTTTGGAGGAGTTGAGGTGAGGCTTGTAGAGGGCTAGCCTCAGGCTAATCATAGGTCATTGGTAATGAAACCCCTGAGGTAGGGATATTTACAGTGGGGGAAAAAAGTATTTAGTCAGCCACCAATTGTGCAAGTTCTCCCACTTAAAAATATGAGAGAGGCCTGTAATCTTCATCATAGGTACACGTCAACTATGACAGACAAATTGAGAAGAAAAAAAATCCAGAAATCACATTGTAGGATTTTTAATGAATTTATTTGCAAATTATGGTGGAAAATAAGTATTTGGTCACCTACAAACAAGCAAGATTTCTGGCTCTCACAGACCTGTAACTTCTTCTTTAAGAGGCTCCTCTGTCCTCCACTCGTTACCTGTATTAATGGCACCTGTTTGAACTTGTTATCAGTATAAAAGACACCTGTCTACAACCTCAAACAGTCACATTCCAAACTCCACTATGGCCAAGACCAAAGAGCTGTCAAAGGACACCAGAAACAAAATTGTAGACCTGCACCAGGCTGGGAAGACTGAATCTGCAATAGGTAAGCAGCTTGGTTTGAAGAAATCAACTGTGGGAGCAATTATTAGGAAATGGAAGACATACAAGACCACTGATAATCTCCCTCGATCTGGGGCTCCACGCAAGATCTCACCCCGTGGGGTCAAAATGATCACAAGAACGGTGAGCAAAAATCCCAGAACCACATGGGGGGACCTAGTGAATGACCTGCAGAGAGCTGGGACCAAAGTAACAAAGCCTACCATCAGTAACACACTACGCCGCCAGGGACTCAAATCCTGCAGTGCCAGATGTGTCCCCCTGCTTAAGCCAGTACATGTCCAGGCCCGTCTGAAGTTTGCTAGAGTGCATTTGGATGATCCAGAAGAGGATTGGGAGAATGTCATATGGTCAGATGAAACCAAAATAGAACTTTTTGGTAAAAACTCAACTCGTCGTGTTTGGAGGACAAAGAATGCTGAGTTGCATCCAAAGAACACCATACCTACTGTGAAGCATGGGGGTGGAAACATCATGCTTTGGGGCTGTTTTTCTGCAAAGGGACCAGGACGACTGATCCGTGTAAAGGAAAGAATGAATGGGGCCATGTATCGTGAGATTTTGAGTGAAACTTGCACAATTGGTGGCTGACTAAATACTTTTTTTCTCCACTGTATATGGGGACATCATTTTTGGCAATAATTAACATCAAGTTAAGTAGTCTATTCAATATGTTCTTATGAGATACAGTGGGGGAAAAAAAGTATTTAGTCAGCCACCAATTGTGCAAGTTCTCCCACTTAAAAAGATGAGAGAGGCCTGTAATTTTCATCATAGGTACACGTCAACTATGACAGACAAATTTAGGGAAAAAAATCCAGAAAATCACATTGTAGGATTTATAATGAATTTATTAGCAAATTATGGTGGAAAATAAGTATTTGGTCAATAACAAAAGTTTCTCAACTTAAGCAGGGGGACACGTCTGGAACTGCAGGATTTGAGTCCCTGGCGGCGTAGTGTGTTACTGATGGTAGGCTTTGTTACTTTGGTCCCAGCTCTCTGCAGGTCATTCACTAGGTCCCCCTGTGTGGTTCTGGGATTTCTGCTCACCGTTCTTGTGATCTTTATGACCCCACGGGGTGAGATCTTGCGTGGAGCCCCAGATCGAGGGAGATTATCAGTGGTCTTGTATGTCTTCCATTTCCTAATAATTGCTCCCACAGTTGGATTTCTTCAAACCAAGCTGCTTACCTATGGCAGATTCAGTCTTCCCAGCCTGGTGCAGGTCTACAATTTTGTTTCTGGTGTCCTTTGACAGCTCTTTGGTCTTGGCCATAGTGGAGTTTGGAGTGTGACTGTTTGAGGTTGTGGACAGGTGTCTTTTATACTGATAACAAGTTCAAACAGGTGCCATTAATACAGGTAACGAGTGGAGGACAGAGGAGCCTCTTAAAGAAGAAGTTACAGGTCTGTGAGATCCAGAAATCTTGCTTGTTTGTAGGTGACCAAATACTTATTTTCCACCATAATTTGCAAATAAATTCATTAAAAATCCTACAATGTGATTTTCTGGATTTCTTTTTCTCAATTTGTCTGTCATAGTTGACGTGTACCTATGATGAAAATTACAGGCCTCTCTCATCTTTTTAAGTGGGAGAACTTGCACAATTGGTGGCTGACTAAATACTTTTTTGCCCCACTGTATGTGAGTTTATATGTGCGCTAATGTGAACTTATCCATTATTTCATACTCTGAGAACATTCTATTCTCAACATATTTCATGGATATCCTAACCCCCAATCTCAATGGGCTTTAGCTAGTGTGATACAAGACAGTAAAATGTGACCCCCACATCACCCTCCCCAAATGTCCAACAGGAACCGAGGATGTAGTGGCAAGCTTTCATTTCCTTTTTTCAAATGAGAAACAGCAGCTTTTGGATATGAGAAAAACAGGATATTACTGAATTTACCCAACAAACACTGAAATGTTCAGTCTGAGAATGAGACACCAGCTCAACATCCTTTAAAAAAAGTTATTCTTAGTAAGGGTATTAGTCATCAAGTAGAATGGGCCTTAACTGTCACGAAATGCACATATTCCAGCTCTATGCTGTCTCATCTTCCTCTTCTCTCCGAACAGGGTGACTCTGAGTGACTGACAGGGAGGGGAAGTGGCTGTGTTGTGGTTTCAGAGACCCAACCCTCTCTGCATCAGATGTCCTGCATGGCCACATCAGACAGGAAGCCAGGCATCAGCGTGGACAGAGTAAATATCTAACCACACCTACAGCCTTGGGCCTTGTGCTACACAACCCAACACGACACCAACAGTGGCTGTCCCACAGCCTACTTAAGTAAATAATGTTTCTGGCTGACTGCACTGGACTTGATATTCTGCATTATGGATGTTGAGTCATTGAGCGTTGACTCAAAGTAGCCTTGGCACGGCAGTAGACCTGAATAACAATAAGTCAATAATAATAACACAAGAATACATAGCACATTTAAAGGTAAAAAATATACAATATATTTGTTGTATAAACTTGTACATTAATGTGTTGTACATTTCGTTTTACATACACTATACATACTGTAATCGGGTCAATTTCACTTCACATCCTTCATGATTCAGAGAAAATGTCCCACGTTACCAAGCTAATCTTATGTACATCTTTTACAAACACATACAAATAAACACAGCCCTTTGATGTATTTCAGAGGCTGTAACAACATAAAAATGTGCTATATAAAAATCCCTGAAAATGTCTCTGTGAGGTAAGAACACATTTAGCATCATCATCACTCGTTTCATTTAATTCCCTCTCTCATTCACTAAAACATTCAACTTCGAAGTGACTCGTTCTGAGATATTACTGACAAATACAGAACGGATCAAAACACTGCATGTTTCCCTTAACACAGTTCCGCCACAGGAAGAGTAGCTGCAGGCTGAAGATTGTCTAAACATGACTTATACATTACTTAATAAACAAGGTACAAATGTCCATTATGGATCATAACTATCATATACAAGTCATTCATTTCAAGCATGGCATATGACAATCCTTGGTTAAAGACAGTTAAGTGTTATGTTAACTTAGACGGTATGATAAAGGCCACAGGAACAACAGGCAGAAGAGGTACAGAACAGAAGTTAAACTTGATTACATGCAAACAATGCAATGTTATTATAATTATCACAATTTACAAGAGCTACGCAAATAAAAACTATAGGTGTTTCATCTTTAACATTTTGCAGAGGGTGACCTGTCTCTGTGCAACAAAGGTAAAACGGTAATGTTCTGACATAATGTATTGCATTCCTACATTATCAAATGGAAAACACAAATGTTTACTCTGAAGATGACAGCAAAGTAGAGAACATAACATAGCATTTGTCACCTACTGTTGTCCATGATCACTCCATACTGATGTTTAGAGAGATAGCTGCAAATGAAGACGTTTAGAACAGTCATCAATAGGAAAGTTAAAGTCATTCAAGGCCAACTTAAAGTAGCCCAATCCCCTCAGCAAAAGTACCATTCAAAAAAATCTCCTTTTGTTCCCAGAAAACATTGATTCACATTCTCCATGGCCAAAATCTCCCTTCAGACCAATGCATTAGCCACAGTTGTTAGGAAAACAACTGACACATCCACTTTACATCTGGTGAATATGAAATGACAGTTAAACCATCTACAACCATTTTAGAGTTAGCTCATAATAATTACATTTCCTGCAATAACCATACCGTCATTCACTATTATAGACGATAAGGCATCAGAGCGTGGACCAAACAGAGCATGTACTTTTTAAAGTATAATGGGGAGCACCGTGTCCTATAAGAATCCATGCACGACAGGTGAGTCTCCTCAGTCTCTCTCCACCAGTTGCAGTTCCAGGAGTATTTTCCTCTTCCTTACAGGCAACAAAATACCATGGCGACACTGATGAAACAACATGGCAGCCAAACCCTTCCTTCTCCGTCTCCTCACGTCGACTCCAGCGTGTCCAACTGGAACACGTTGTGATTGGTCGGCGTGGTGAAGTAGAGCTGCTCATTGGACGAGGAGCGGTTGTCACACAGGCTGTGCAGCCCCAGTGTCCTCTCGAAGTCCAGCAGCTGGCCCATGAAGTTGAAGTTGGGGGAGATGTTGGACTTCTTCCTCTTGACAAAGTCATAGGCGTCGTTAAGGGACAGGTTGAGCCTCTGCATCAGGTAGGCCACGGTCACGGTCACAGAACGGCTGATGCCAGCCAGACAGTGTACCAGGACGCCACACTGCTTGGACCGAGCCTCATCTACGTGTACAAGTGAGGAAGAAGGTCAATATGGGTCAAATAAGACTGCTTTTATGATCAGGTCACACGTAGACCTCAGACTCTCAGGGCGTGGGGTCTAAGGGCTTGATAGTGTATTCATAAGGCTCAACACACAATAGCTAACATGTAGTCCTGCTTCTTATTGTTTTCTCATGAGGATCAAGGGAGACAGTAAGTAAACCTTTATCTTTGTTGAATGACATCTCCATTCGTCAAAGGAAATATAATTTATAGTGAGCTAATCCCAGCAGGGTGAAACGCCCTGGACTCCACCACAACCAGGATACGTCAGAGTTAGACTCATGACCTGATAACCAAACACAGGCAGCCATAGAGAGTGGAAGCCATGTTTCCTTCCTCTACCACTAACCCCAATTGACAAACGAATGCAAAACAAGCCTGGAAACACCACTAGTACAAACATACATAACCTAGAAGGTTTCATGTGCTGTTGTGGGTTTTTGTAAGTTAGGGTTCCCCAACTGGCGGCCCAGTGATTTTATTTGGCCCCCCAAGTTTTCTGAGCAACAAAAAAAGAAGATTAGTCGTTTTTTTAATTAGGCCATAAAATACTGTAAAAACACCAGCAAATCAGCTCCAAGTTTAATTTAGGAAATCTGTTCCAAAGTATTCCCCTGCATAATAGAGAGATATACAGTTCCAGTCAAAAGTTTGGACACACCTACTCATTTAAGGGTTTTTCTTTATATTTACTATTTTCTACATTGTAGAATAATAGTGAAGACATCAAAACTATGAAAGAACACATATGGAATCATGTAGTAACCAAAATAAGTGTTAAACAAATCAAAATATATTTTACATTAGAGATTCTTCAAATAGCCACCCTTTGCCTTGATGACAGCTTTGCACACTCTTGGCATTCTTTCAACCAGCTTCACCTGGAATGCTTTTCCAACAGTCTTGAAGGAGTTCCCACATATGCTGAGCACTTGTTGGCTGCTTTTCCTTCACTCTGCGGCCCAACTCATCCCAAACCATCTCAATTGGGTTGAGGTCAGGTGATTGTGGAGGCCAGGTCATCTGATAGAGCACTCTCCTTCCTGGTAAAATAGCCCTTACACAGCCTGGAGGTGTGTTGGGTCATTGTCCTGTTGAAAAACAAATGATAGTCCCACTAAGCCCAAACCAGATGGGATGGCTTATCGCTGCAGAATGCTGTGGTAGCCATGCTGGTTAAGTGTGCCTTGAATTCTAAATAAATCACAGACAGTGTCACCAGCAAAGCACCCCCACACCATAACACCTCCTCCTCCATGCTTTACGGTGGGAACTACACACGTGGAGATCATCCGTTCACCCACACCGCGTCTCACATAGAAGACACACCTGTTAATCGAAAAGCTGGTGAAGCTGGTTGAGAGAATGCCAAGAGTGGGCAAAGCTGTCATCAAGGCAAAGGGTGGCTATTTGAAGAATCTCAATTATAAAATATATTTTGATTTGTTTAACACTTTTTTGGTTACTATATGATTCCATGTGTATTATTTCATAGTTTTGATGTCTTCACAATTATTCTACAATGTAAAAAAATAGTAAAAATAAAGAAAAACCCTTGAATGAGTAGGTCTGTCCAAATTTTTGACTGGTAGTGTACCTTCAGCAAGTATTCATACCCCTTGACATATTCCACATTTTGTTCTGTTACAGCCTGAATTCATATCGGATTAAATTGATTTTTTCCTCACCCATCTACACACAATACCCCATAATGTTGCACATTTATTGAAAATGAAATAGATAAATATATAATTTACATAAGTATTCACACACCTGAGTCAATACTTTGTATACGTTTATTTTTTATACCTTTGGCAGCGATTACAGCTGTGAATCTTTTTGGGTAAGAGCTTTTCACACCTGGATTGTGCAACATTTGCTCATTATTCTTTTAAAGAATTCTTCAAGCTCTGTCAAATTGGTTGTTGATCATTGCTAGACAACCATTTTCAGGTCTTGCCATAGACTGTCAAGTAGATTTAAGTCAAAACTGTAACTTGGCCACTCAGGAACATTCACTGTCTTCTTAGTAAGCAACTCCAATGTAGATTTGGCCTTGTGTTTTAGGTTATTGTCCTGCTGAAAGGTAAATTAATTTCCCAGTGTCTGGTGGAAAGCAGACTAAACAAGGTTTTCCTCTAGGATTTTGCCTGTGCTTAGCTCCATTCTGTTTATTTTTTATCCTGAAAAACTCCCCAGTCCTTAACGATTACAAGCATACCCATAACATGATGCAGCCAACACAATGCTTGAAAATATGGAGAGTGGTACTCAGTAATGTGTTGTTTGGATTTGCCCCAAACATAACACTTTATAGTCAGGAAAAAAGGGAATTGCTTTGCCACATTTTTTACAGTATTACTTTAGTGCCTTGTTGCAAACAGGATGCATATTTTTGAATATTTTTATTCTGTACAGGCTTCCTTCTTTTCACTCTGTCAATCAGGTTAGTATTGTGGAGTAACTACAATGTTGATCCATCCTCAGTTTTCTCCTATCACAGTCATTAAACTCTGTAAAGTCACCATTGGCCTCATGTTGAAATCCCTGAGCGGTTTCCTTCCTCTCCGGCAACTGAGTTAGGATGGACGCCTGTATCTTTGTAGTGACTGGGTGTATTGATACACCATCCAAAGTGTAATTAATAACTTCACCATGCTCAAAGGGATATTCAATGTCTGCTTTTTCTTTTTACCCATCTACCAATAGGTGCCCTTCTTTGCGAGGCATTGGAAAACCGTGTTGGTCTTTGTGGTTGAATCAGTGTTTGAAATTCACTGCTCGACTGAGGGACCATACAGATAATTGTATGTGTGGGGTACAGAGATGAGGTCAAAAGTCATGTTAAACACTATTATTGCACACAGAGTGTGCCCATGCAAATTACTATGACTTGTTAAGAACATTTTTACTCCTGAACTTATTTAGGCTTGCCATAACAAAGAGGTTGAATACACATTGACTCAAGCATTTCAGCTTTTCATTTTTAATTAATTTGTCAACATTTTGAAAAACATAATACCACTTTGACAATAAGCGGTATTGTGTGTAGGCCTGTGACAAAACATCTCAATTTAATCCATTTTAAATTCAGGCTGTATCACAACAAAATGTGGAAAAAGTCAAGGGGTGTGAATACTTTCTAAAGGCACTGTCTGTAAGCAAGGTTTGGGCTTCTTGCGGTCAATTTGCAGTCTACAAATTATTTGTAATTATGTTCCGGCCCCCTGACCATCCGCTCAAGAAAAACATCGGCCTGCGGCTGAATCTAGTTGATGATACCTGCTGTACGTTTTTTTTAAAGATTTGTTATCCATCCTTAAATAACAGACATATGACACTAACAATGACCAGGAAGTTCCTCAGTAGCGCATGTACTTTCCCTTGTGCCGAGCAAGGGACTTCAGTCCAGCTCTCTTTTTGACCAATATATACCCGAAGAGCGGGTGGTGGATGGACCAATAATGTAAAAAAATGTATAGATAAATCATTTTTAAACAGACACCAATAGACAGTTATGTTGACTTGTGACATTGGTAACCAGACGTGAAAATAAAAGTAAAAGCCATAGCTTCATCACACAACGGGGTTTCAGTGATGAGCAATACCACTGGGTATACCAGGAACTGAGCGATAACAATGATTCAAATCATAATAAAAATATGACTCAAATACAACAAGAACATTAGGTGGTCAGCAAACAACTTCCTCTTTCTCACTGTAATTCACAGAAGTATATCATATACTAGGTGTTCCTGTGAGTCATTTCCTATAGGCCTCGTACTCCACATATAGTAATTTTTGGAACACAATGTGATCTATCATGTTCTCTCCCGCACAATAAGTCAGCTACTCACCGATGAAGGATATGGCCTCTGGAAAGAACTGGGACAGGTTCTGACTCCAGTGGTCCGAGATGGGGATCTGCTTGTATGTAAAGAGGCCGTCATGTTCAAACATGTTGGGGAGGTTGGGTGTGACGTTCAGGATGTACTTGATGTTGTGCTGGCCCAGCACGTCCAGGTTAGTGGAGTCTTTGGCACAGCCCAGGTAAAGGTAGGGAAGGATCTGGACTGGGAAGGCAGGTTGGTTGTTGGGAAGGGGGCTCTCCTCAGACTCTGTGGCGCTGCTCGGCTCGCGGTCCGATTCACCATCTGAGAGGTCGGAACTGATCCGGAGACTTCCGAAACCTAGGACGGAGAGCGGGGGAGAGGAGCTGGGACAGGAGCTGTCCAGGAGGGTCTCACAGTGCTCTGGGTACTCGGTTTGAAACTTCCCAAATCCCCCTGAGATCAAAAGAACCAAGGAGTTATAAAATGGTGTATGTGCTGTCCTGTGTATCTCAGCCAAGCATTATATTCATATAATTATTATTATTATTCAAACTGTAACAACAGAACAGAGATTTGGGTCAAATATTATTATTTTGAGTTTAAAGATAATAACTGACAAGTGGTCAAATTAAGTAATAGGCTGTGTACTACGTTTTGTTTACTATGAATGACATGTTAATAACATGTGAATAGGGCCGACGCAATAACAATTGTATGCTATCTATACCATTACTGAAAACTGTATGGGCAATAGGTCTCTCCTTCACAGCAGAACATTCATGAAATGCATGCCCTTTTCCAGCAGTAGCAAAACATGGCGTAGCCATTTTGGAATTTTAATTGAGAATCCCAGTCACACTACTTCTCAAAGTTTGAGAGACAATAGATGTAGGCTACCTTCAAAACTATGCTGTATTTTAAATACTATCTATATAATTTAAATGGATTGATTTAAGTTGTTTGTCTTAAATATATTTTAACCTTACTTTACATACAGTGCCCGGAAAGTTAGACAAGGAATAATCTACATATCCTATTGAAAAACAATATAATGGCAAAAATGTAACTTGCCTTCCAGGTAATATGCTTTACAGCCGTCGTCCCATAGTTTCTGAAGAAGTAGTCCCAGAACCGAGACTGTGGCCCCATCCTGCCAGTCCACAGTGCACTCATCGTACAGAATCACTGTATCTGTATTGCAACGTCTAACGAATTTCTCCTTGTCTTCGTGGTTCGGTATGATAGTTCGGATGGGTATGTTGCCCTTCTTGAACCTTCGCAGCATCAATGCTGGAATTGCCAAATTGATCGCCGTTTCTATGTGGGATGATTCGTAAAGCTCGTGCGATCGGCAGTCCAACAAAAGCAGCGAACCTCCCCCGGATTCCAACTCGAGTTGGAGCCATTCTACGCTTTTACTTGGAGTCACATTAGTCATATCGAACTAAATATCATGTTACATTCATACAGGTAGGCTAATACACAAATTACGCTAACGTTACATTGTACACCGAGAGACAAATAACTATTTCGAGGAGAAACACTGGAACTTGTTAAACTCAAACATCAAAGCTCAAATGTTTGAAAAATGTATCAAATTACCGGTTTGAGCGGGAGCGTTGATTTCCCTCTAACCACTTATACGCACATCCAGGTAAGCAAATCCTCGTGCATTTGTTCCTATGCAATAATAACACCAGACATTAACAACAACTATTCGACACTGACTGTCGCACTACTTGGAGTATGTTCTCACTTTGCTATTCCGATGCAGAGGAAATGTTGTTGAGGAGCAACTCAAGAGAGGGAGGTGCTTGCTTCAGGATTTAAAGACATAGATGGAGATTGCAAAATGTGGTTTGTAATCCCTCCTCTAGGCTATTAGAGGAGGGATTATTTTAATAGTGTTATTTTAATTTTAATAGTGTTATTTTAATATCAAACTAGGCATTCATGAAATGCATTATTCTATCAATCTTTGTATGATCAAAACAGTTTTATTCACTCATTAATGATGTTTAAAATGTAGGCTATGCAACATAATTAATTGCAGCCCAGTACCTGCTCTTTTCTCATTTGTATGCAGTGGTGGTTTTTATTCTTGGTCAATGTGTGGTCATATCAATGTAAATATTTGCATATGATAATAAACACTGATGGATGCTGGCCAAAACACAATATTTGAGATTATATCATCCTGTAACACTATTGAACCTCATCCTCTTCAGTCTCATAGCATGGCATGCTGGGGTAACACTATTTGGAAAGTCCCAAGTAGATGTTTTGTACATGTCCAGTAAATGTTCGATAACTGTCAACAACATTTTAATTAACTATCCACTAACCCTAACCCTAAACCCCCCTAACCATAGCCCTGATCCTAACCCTAACCCTAAACCCCCTAACCATAGCCCTGATCCTAACCCTAACCCTAAACCCCCTAACCATAGCCCTGATCCTAACCCTAACCCTAAACCCCCTAACCATAGCCCTGATCCTAACCCTAACCCTAAACCCCCTAAACCCCCTAACCATAGCCCTGATCCTAACCATAACCCTAAACCCCCTAACCATAGCCCTGATCCTAACCATAACCCTAAACCCCCTAACCATAGCCCTGATCCTAACCCTAACCCTAAACCCCCTAACCATAGCCCTGATCCTAACCCTAACCATAGCCTTGATCCTAACCCTAACCCTAACCCCCTAAACATAGCCCTGATCCTAACCCTAACCCTAAACCCCCTAACCATAGCCCTGATCGTAACCCTAACCCTAAACCCCCTAACCATAGCCCTGATCCTAACCATAACCCTAAACCCCCTAACCATAGCCCTGATCCTAACCCATAACTCTAAACCCCCTAACCATAGCCCTGATCCTAACCCTAACCCTAAACCCCCTAACCATAGCCCTGATCCTAACCCTAACCATAGCCTTGATCCTAACCCTAACCCTAACCCCCTAAACATAGCCCTGATCCTAACCCTAACCCCTAACCCCCCTAACCATAGCCCTGATCGTAACCCTAACCCTAAACCCCCTAACATAGCCCTGATCCTAACCCTAACCCTAAACCACCCCCTAACCATAGCCCTGATCCTAACCATAACCCTAAACCCCCTAACCATAGCCCTGATCCTAACCCTAACCCCCCTAACCATAGCCCCAATCCTAACCCTAACCATAGCCCTGATCCTAACCCTAACCCTAATCCCCTAACCATAGCCCTGATCCTAACCAACCCTAAACCCCCTAACCATAGCCCTGATCCTAACCCTAACCCTAAACCCCCTAACCATAGCCCTGATCCACTTACCCAACCCTAAACCCCCTAACCATAGCCTGATATACCTAACCCTAAACCCCTAAAACATAGCCCTGCATTCCTACCATAACCCTAAACACCCCTAACCATAGCCCTAATACCCTTAACCCCTACCCCCCAACCATAGCCCAAATCCTAACCCTACCCTGAGACCTGATCCTAACCTAACATCATCCACTAAACCATAGACCTGATCCAACCCTAACCTAAAACCCCCTAACCATAGCCCTGATCCTAACCTAAACCCCCTAACATTCCCTGATCCTAACATAACCTAAAACCCCCTAACCTAGCCCAATCCTAACCCTAAACCCCCTAACCATAGCCTAATCTAACATAGCCTGATCCTAACCCATAACCCTAAACCCTAACATAGCCCTGATCATAACCATAACCCAAACCCCCTAACCATAGCCTGATCCTAACCCCTAACCCTAAACCCCCAACAATAGCCCTGATCCTAACCCTAAACATAAAACCCCAACCATAGCCCTGATCCCTAACCCGAACCCTAAACCCCTAACCACAGCCCTGATCTAACCTAACCCGAAACCCCCTAACCATTAGCCACTGGATCTAACATAAACCCTAAACTCCCTAACCATAGCCATGATCAAACCCTAAACCCTAACCCCCGAACCATAGCCATGATCCTAACCTACCCTAAACCCCCTAACCATAGCCATGATCTAACCCTAACCCTAAACCCTAACCATAGCCATGATCCTAACCATAACCCTAAACCCCCTAACAAGAGCCCTAATCCTAACCCTAACCCCTTTAACCATAGCCCTGATCCTAACCTAACCATAGCCTTGATCCTAACCCTAACCCTAACCCCCTAAACATAGCATGATCTACCCTAACCCTAAACCCTAACCATAGCCCTGACGTACCCTAACCCTAACCCCTCACCATAGCCTGATCCAAACATTTAACCCTAAACCCCCTAACCATAGCCCTGACCATAACCATTAACTCTAAACCCCTAACAATAGCACTTGATCCATAACCCCTAACCCTAAACCCCCTAACAAGCACCTGATACTCTAACCCTAACCCATAGCCTTGATCCTACCCTAACCCTAACCCCTAAACATAGCCTGATCCTAACCCTAACCCTAACCCCCTACCCTTAGGCCTGATCGTACACAACCCTAAACACACCTAACCATAAAGCCCTGATCCTAACCCTAACCCTAAACCCCTAACCATAGCATGATTCCTAACCATAACCCCTACCTAAACCCCCTAAACATAGCCATGATCCCTAACCATACCTAAACCCCTAACATGCCCTGATCCTAACCTAACCTAAACCCCCTAACCATAGCCCGATCCGAACCATAAAAACCTAAACCCCCTACCATAGCCATGCTCATAACCTAACCTAACCCCCTAACCTACCCTGATCCTAACCATAACACTAAAACACACCTACATAGCCTGATTCCAACCCTAACCCTAAACCCCCTAACCATAGCCCTGATCCTACCCTAACCCTAAACCCAAACCATGCCCTGATCCTAACCATAACCCTAAACCCCTAACCATAGCGCTAATCCTAACCCTAACCCCCCAACCTAGCCCCAAATCCTAACCCTAAACCATAGACCGATACTAACCCAACCTAGTCCCTAACCATAGCCTGATCCTAACCCCTAACCCTAAACCCCCTAACCAAGCCCTGATCCTACCTAAAACCACTAACATCGGCCCTGATCCTAAAACCATAACCCATAAAACCCTAAACCATTAAGGGGGGGCCCCGAATCCAACCCTAAACCCCTAACAATAGCCCTAATCCTAAACCATGAGCCTGATCCTAACCATAACCCTAAACCCCCTACCATAGCCCTGATCATAACCATAACCCTAACCCTAACCAGAGCCCTGATCCTAACCCTAACCTAAACCCCCTAACAAGAGAAAGGAGACTTTCCTCACCCCTTATATCATTCTTTCTTGTCTATCTAGACCTCACTCACGGGCAACGAGGCGATGTGATTAGCAGAAGCTAAACCACTACTCCCCCGATCCCGAATTAAACCCTAAACCTAAACCCCTAAACCATTAGCCCTGATTCCTAACCCTAACCCTAAACCCCCTAACCATAAGCCCTGATCCAACCCTAACCCTAAACCCCTAACCATAGCCCTGATCTTAACCATAACCCTAAAAACTCCCTAACCCATTTTCGCCCTGATCCTAACCCTAACCTAAACCCCTAACCATAGCCCTGATTCCTAACCATAAACCTAAAAACCCCCCTAACTAGCATGAACTAACCCTAACCCTAACACCCCGAAACATAGCCTGATCCTAACCATAACCCTAAACCCCGAACCATAGCCTATCTAACCCTAACCCCCCTAACCACTAGCCCCAAATCCTAACCTACCATAGCCTGATCCTAAACCTAACCCTAATCCTACCCATAGCCCTGATCCTAACCCGAACCCTAAACCCCCTAACCATAGCCCTGATCCTAACCTAAACTCCCTAACCATAAGCCCTGATCCTAACCCTAACCTAAACCCCCAACCATAGCCGGAATCCTAACCAGAAACCCAAACCCCCTAACCCGAGACCTGATCCTCCCTAACTAAACCCTAACCCTAGCCCTGATCCTAACCCATAACCTAACACCTAACCATAGCCCTAATCCTAACCCTAAACCCCTAACCAAGCCCTGATCCTAACCCTAACCCTAGCCTTGATCCTAACCCAACCCTAACCCCTAAACATAGGCCTGATCCTACCCTAACCCTAAACCCTAACCCTAACCGCCTGTCGTAACCTAACCCTAAACCCCCCTAACCATAGCCTGATTCCTAACCATAACCCTAAAACCCCATAACCATAGCCCTGACCTAACCATAACTCTAAACCCCTAACCATAGCCTGATCCTAACCCTAACCATAAACCCCCTAAACCCATAGCCCTATCCTACCCCTAACCATAGCTGAATCCTAACCCCTAAACCCTAACCCCTAAACATAGGCCCTGATCCTAACCCTAACCCTAACCCCCTAACCATAAGCCCTGATCGTAACCCTAAACCTAACCCCCCTAACAAGCCCTGATCCGAACCAACCCTAAAACACCC